TATTTTAGTTTTTAATTACTATGGAAACATTACACCATTTTTTATTTTCATACTATTTTTTATGTCTTATAAAATAATAATAAAAAACATAAAATAGTACTTTCATGTTTTTTTCAAAGCAATTATATCTTTTTACCTTTCCATCATTTTCTCTTGCCTATTATTTGATTAGTGAGTTCTGACAAATTTATATGGGCCTTAGATTGTGGAGTAGGCCGCAAGTGGGCCATTCACACAGAGTTTTCACCGTGACAGGAGGCCCCATGGGAAGCGGTTGCATTAGGCAGGAGTGGGCCCTGGGCCCAGTTCTTCCTAGAGTTGGGACCCATTGAAGCAACCAAGCATCCTATGCTGTGTTTTAATCCCACCCTCTACACTTCGCATTCTTTTCATGATGTCATTCATTTCATCATCATACACATCCAACCATTTTATTTATGTAACAGACTACAGATATTCTTTCCACAAAAAAAAGGTTATGATTTTCGAGTCAAATAACATAATTACGAGAAATAAACTATTTTCTTACGTATTTAACATTAAAAAGTTGTTAACTATATATATATATATATATATTGATATATTATTTTGAATACCCAGTTTTTACTATTTATTGCCGAGTCTCTTCTTAACATCTGTAATATAATAAAAAAAATGTCAATCAGCAGTCTTCTTTTAACATAATTTGATACTAAGATTTTGAATTTAAAAATATTGATGAAACTATAACAATGTGTGTCACTTCATGGATGTACTTGATAGTTTGTTTTATCAGATTATGTTTACATCTGGATTGAGGAAATTATTGCATTCTGTAGTGGCTGTTGAGTGTTACTCATTGATAGTAAATTTGGTTTCGGCGGGTCATATTATTAAAATAATCCCATATCTTAGGAAACCTCACTTGATTCTTAGCAAAATCACAAGAAGAAAATTGCAAGTGGAATTACCCACAATCATGTCATCTTCATGAACAAAGACAGCCAAGAAACTGCCACAGAGTGCTTGTTTAGATGTGTCAGCCATTATGATACATACTTGCAGATGATTCCCTTGCTCATAAATCATAGTATTCTAATGAATATTATTTGACTTTGTTATTACTACATATATAAAATACAAAGTACGAACTAAAGATATAGAGATAATGTATTAGGCGAGTCATTATTGATCTGCACAATCAGAATCAGAATCAGAATCTCACCTGTTGTATTAGGCGCCACTCTTACTTACGTAATGAACAAGGAGAATTACAAATATGCAACAGAAACTATAGTTTTCCATGTGCATGTGATATCATGATTTTCAGATGGGTTGGTATACTTCTCTGTGACAGTCTGACAGAGTCAAATTACATGTACCATGGCTTATTTTTGGTACTAAGCTACCTTCACATTGCAATATTTTAGGTATCAATTGGATACTCTGCATCACCATTATGTAAAATTATTGTACTAAGGTGGAATCTGTGGGATTTTTTTTTTTTTTATCGGTGAAAGAAAAGAAAGAGTCCCATGCGTGATTTGATTAACAGTATTATAATAGCATTGCTGTTTATTATATGGAGCTTATTAGATGAACAAAGGACAGTGTCATCTTGAAGGTTTTGTTGTCTACTGAGAGAGGTTATTCTATTCTCCAATGTCTGTTTTCTGAACTCTTTCATTTGCATCTTTTAAAGATTAACAATACTTGGATTGATACTAATACGGGTTTACACTTTTATGAATCTGTACTCATAAACCTTATCTTCTAAACACAATTTGTTGATTTTGTATATTTTATGAGTCAGGTTATTCAATAAGAACTTTTGTGTATATTCATGGCAATGCGTTGAGGCATCATGATATACTCTTCCGTAAAGAAGGGCCACATGCCCGTTAAGTGCTTGTAAAGCAAAACTTTTCTAGCCCCCTCAAGGGAACATTTCTTTAATTGTTTTCTCAAGAATTTAGCAGAATGTATTTGAGGTGTCTTTTGCCAGGAAAAAGAGAGAGAGAGAGAGAGAAAAAAAAGAATAACAATTGATACTGTTGGGATATACCAGTGAAACAAAATTAAAGATAAATTGTTAAATATTACTAGTGTTTAGACCCAAGTGTGGATGGAGATAGACTAGACTTCTTTGAAGTTGGAAGGTGGGAAATGAAAGTGTTTTTGGCTTGAACTTACAACTCTGGATTGTGAGAGTGGTGGTAGAGTAGTTGCAAAGGTATTTTGACGTTAAGTTAGTAAACAAATCCACTGATAATATAATAGTAATAAAAGCATGCACACATATTAATGATGTTTCAAGTATACATAAGTGTCTGATTTAGGTTAAAATCAGTGTCAAGAGGTCCACGGCTCTTTATAGGTGCTGCAGCACCTATTTTGTACAATTTTAGTTAACTTCATGCTTACTAATAATGCAGAGTGGTATGAGATTAGGCTCAATTGGTAACAATTACTTTATTTGTAGTGCTATAACGTGGTTTTATGACTCCACTCTACTTTTCCAACTTCACATTTCCACACCTTCGCCTCCAGTAGAATGCATCAGATTAATGAGTTATAACTTGGTTTTATTCTTAAATTTAGCAGGTATCAGAGAATTAACTTTGTTCCTTCAGACGTTTCTGTGTCAATGACATTTTGAGTTAAGCATAATGACCGTGAAAATGTAGTGCTGTTTTGGCAAGATGGAATTTCATGTCATGCTCATGCCTATAGCAACTTGGAGAGTCCACTCTTTCTTATATTCTTGGATTCCAGATTCTGAAAACTTGAATTTGGATCTATATATCCAATAACCCATGTAAGATTCCAGAGCCAACATGAATCCCATGCTTTTGATAACGCTATACGAAAAAAAAAAAATGTTATCTAGTTCATGGGCCATCTTCTTTCTTATAAGATGGGAAGATGAGTCCCTATCATTGGAGTCCACCACAGCGATTGTATGCTAATTCTGTGAACAAAATTTAGTGGCAACAGTTGCCTATGCAGGTGGTTCTATCATGTATTTGTTTTAGGGCTGAAGATCGAAAATCACACTCACCCTCTCTTTTGAATTGTTATTTTCAGCTGGGGAAGTTGGGACAACCACCACAGTGCATGTGCCCATCTGAATGCAATTAGATCATCACCAGTTTGAAGGGCACCTTAATTTGTAGCTCAATTTTAACAACATACAAATAAGATTTCACTGCAAAAAGGTATTCATTCATTCATTCATTCATGTTCCTATTTCCAAGTCCAACTCTTTTTGTTGTTGTTAGTTTAGAATCATAAGTTTTATTCAAACACTGACCATAATGAGCCGTAATAAAGCCAAGACATATCAACCATTCCACGAAAAAAAATATATATAAACAAATTTATTTGTGTTATTGGTGAGAGATGCAAAAAATATCAAATCAGCATGGGTCCGTTAACAAATTCCAATTGGTTAGTGTGGCACATCAATAGCTCATGGCTACACCATTCTTCACTCAACTTAATTACAAAACAAGTCGAGCTATTAATTATTAATATAACCCCCGCTACAAAATCACTTCCAATTCACTGTTTTAACTACTCCCCATAGATTATCTTTTCCATTTTTTATTTCTTCATCAATATAATTTCCCCTGTAACAAATTCAGCATGTACTATTTTCTCTGTTTATGTTCAATTTTACTTGTTTTTAAGATTGTTTTAAAAAAACCAATGGATAAAGCAAATTTTCTTTATTTTAATAAAACATTTCTTAAGTCTTCTAATTTTATTTTTTTTCATCTTTACAATAAATACGTACATAAATTAATTTAAGATTAAAATATATATATATATATAAGGTATATATAATTACTAACAAGAGTAATTAAATTGGTCTTAAATTTTACCTATAAAAATAAAAAAATCTCCATAGTTAAGAAATTGAGGAAGTAATAAACAATAATTCACTGGAAATCTTACTCAATGGAATTTTAAGGATATACTATTCCTTTTAATATAATATATTTCCTATATAAAGTGACATCACTAATATTTGAAGATTAAGCTACCTTGTTAAGGGACATAAATATAGTTGTTATTTGTGTTAAGGAATCTTCTGATGCTTTATTTTAGGATATGTCGTAGTTCTCATGAACTCTAGTATCTCTAACATATCACTTTCCTCAAAAGCAATCATCTTACAACTCACACTTCATTGATTGATTAAGATGACGCAGAAACAGGAAAAACGTTAAAAAAACTGTCTTATTATATCACAGGTTTGGTTTTCACTTTCAACATAGAATAATAACATAAGCATAGAGATATTTCATTGCCCTTATGGAATACTAATTTTATGACTTTGGATTTTTTTTTTTTTAAATCCAATCCTAGATAACAAATAAATAAAAATGTTGTGACTATTAAATATGCACATGCAAAGACACAGTACGATATGGTTAACCACCGACCCAGATATTCATCAACGACGTTGGCAGTGTCAACTTTCATGATAAATGAATTTAACCATTTCAAAAAATTATTCACATTCATGGTTTTGGTACTATATCACTTTCAATATATGTAAAAAATGTAACTAGTTTTAATATTTTTATTTTTAACTTGTGTATAACATAATTTTATGTTATAAATAAATAAATAAATTTAAAATTAATTTTCTAAAAATTGTTATACATGTTCGTTTTTTATATTAAGGTAAGTTATTGGTAAAACCTAACTTATTAACAAATTCAGTACGAAATGAGTTGACAACATGAAGCTGAAGTTTATATTGATTGACTAAATCATTAACATTACAACTTGTATTGTAATCATCCATTCTCATTTTAATTTCTTTTGCTCTTTTTTTTTCATTTAAAAATTGAAAAAAAAGACTATTTGTAATGATACTTTAAAGATAATATATTTTAATAATAAAATCAAGACATTAAACAAGTAACTCAAAATTGCATATTTTAGGATATTAATTAATATAAATTTAATTATATTTTTAGTTTATGAAATTTGACATATATCTGATCCTAGTCTAAAAAAAGACTATTTAAAATGTTGAATAAACAAAAAAAAAACACAATTATAATTCCTAATTATTTAAAAGATTAAAATATTTTTCTAAATTTAAAAAATCTAAATTAGATTTATTTAAAATTTTATAATTAATTAAAACATAATCAAACTATTAGAGTATCCATAACAAATGAAAATAAATACTGTAATATAATTAAAAAAGAAGAAGAAGCAATTCTTTGGAGAATCATGACATCATCTGAAAACACATTTTTCTGTTTCTTTTTTTATAGCATCACAGTGTTAAGTCCCACTTGATTAGGTACCACTTATTGATGATGAAAGCAAAGACTTTTTGTGGTGAGAAATGCTTTTATAGATAAAATGGGGTTGGGTACAATCACAAAGAGAAGCATTATTTCTTCTCTCTGTTTTGCTCGAATGAGAATGAGTGAGGGTGAACAATGAATGATTTGCTTGGCATCTGTTGTTATAAATCAAAGTGTCACTAAAAGGTCCCCATGCCACATCAAATCAAGGTTTTAATTGGCTATTTATTGCCAAGGTCCCCCATTAGTTAAACATGTACTAAACATTAACTAATCAATCTATCATCTTAATGATTTTTGATTGTAGGACAACTACTTGTGGTTGTGCTTATCCCTAGGTAATCTTTTTATGTAATTCTATCATCATGTTTATATTTTGATCAATCCACTTAAGAATTTGTATCTTTTTCATATACTTATTTTGATTCAAATCCCACAATCCCCTAAAAAGAACTATACAATATCTTTTATGATATTCTTTTATAATACAGTGCTGAAATCACCAATGAATTAACTAGGACTTATATTAACATACATAATTAATTAAAGATATAATGTAACTCTTTAAAAATTAATAAAAAGGAGACAAATTTTGATTTAGGTTAATTCTAATTGATGATGTTTCCGGTGTAATTAGTGGAGAATATAATGTAATGTCCATGATGGCCCTTTTTAAAAACAATAAATAACTTTAAAAAAGATACAGACAAACACTTAAATGTTATTGTTCTAACCAAGAAACCTTACATGGAATTAGTAATATTAAAAGTACAAATGTTATATTAAATATAGAAAAGTATATATATCTTTAAAAATCCAAACATTCAATATATTTTGTAGTATTTATTAAGGAAAAAACTACTTCTTAAAGGATATCATCACATTTAATTGATTTCATTTATGTTTGTTAAAGCCATTGTCTTTTGAAGGTACTTGAAACTTGAAAGGGTCATGACAAGTTTAAATATTAAAGCACATCTCTCTTAAAAGCATTAAATTGCTGTCCCCATGCACATTTTGATACTATATCTTGTCTTCACTTTATTTAATTATCTTTATCTGGTTGCTATTAAGTAGAATTATTTAACTTTAGGAAAAAAAAAAAAATTTCTTGTACGTAAATTGAAAAAACAAGTGCAAGTGTACAATTAGGATCCGTTCAATAAGAAGGAGCGAAACCAATAGAAGTTGTCAGATATTATTGTATAAAAAGGACAAGCTTTAATAGTAAATTAAGTGTGGTAATAGAAAAAGCCCATTACGAAATGTGGACTCGAATATAAGCTCAACATTGACTAGGAAAGGCCTGGTAAGTGGGCAACAACTGTAAGACAGTTTGGATTTTGTTGCAATTCTAATGGGCCTGGTTTTCGGCATCCTTAAGTTACTATTTAAACTCTCCCAAACTAAATGCTACAAGCTCAACACAAACTTGATCTCATCCAGTTATTTTTTAAGAAGATTTAGTGTTTTTGTTTAAATAACACAACAAAAATTTGTATACTACTCCCCCATAATTAAAATAAATCATATTTTACCCTTCATCAAAACATGTTTACTTTCAAAATTCATTTGAGATTGGATATTCTAAAAATGTATTATGGATTTGGAGTTCTTAAATGCATTTCTAGAACAACCAATATATTCTGGATTGGATGTTCTAGAACAACCAATAAATTGAAATTTTCAAAAATACATTCCAGATTAAGTGTTCCAGAACAACCAATTCGAAAATGTATTCCAAAACATCTAATTCAAAAGGTATTTTTCGGAACACCCAATCCAAAAATACATTTTGAAATACCAATTCCAGAATACATTTTTGAATCGATTCTTCCATACATATATTTCAGATTATGTATTTAGAAACTCACTTTCAGACTCAAAATATGTTCTGAATTGAACAATTTGAATTCTTATATTCACTCTCAGTCCAATTTTCATCTAATAGGTACAAAGTATTGACAATTTCTTACCTTACGGATTAAAAACAATGTTCAATGGAAGTAGAATCACAACAAAATAAAATTACAAGAAGTGTGGAGGTGTAGAGGAGTGGAAGAGAAAAAACTTCTACGATTTCAACTAAAAATTAATAAAATAGTATTTCCATCATTTTACATAAATTATAGGGATACATAAAAAAAGAATTATAAAAATGTAGTAAGGAACAACCATATTTTAACTATCATCTTATATACTTAAAAGGATAAAAGGTAAATGGTGTTCATCTCAAACTACTTACATTAACAAAATGATGGAAAGAACATATCACAAAACCACTAATGGTATATTTTCTTTTTCACAAGGAGCCCTTTATATATGGAGCTAAACTGTAATTAAAAATTCAAATACTATCATCAACAACCTAAATATTGGAAACATTAATAACAACGATTCCTAAAAAATGCCTCTGATGCAATGTTATGGACACTAGGTGTTTTTTTAGTGTTCAATGATCTTCTCAACTTAAAGAATAACTATATCTGCATCTCAAAAGCACATCCAGAAGGTAAATTATCATTTCCAAAATAGATATAAAATCTTTCTAAGAATTATCAATTCTTGAGAATCGTTAAGTTTATAAAGGAAAGCAAACTTTTATTAAAAATTTCTAGGTCTCTGAGTTATATAGAATCTAACCCAACAAAGAGGAGTAGTAAAATTACCCTCAAAATAAAAAAAATAGAAGATAATAATAAGGGTAAAAGATGTGGTCTAATTACAGAAATGCTTCCATACCACACAACTCTAAAAATATTAATAAATGGTAATGGGATATTTATTAAATGGAAAAATTATTATATATTTCCAAATGTTGAGTTGAAAGTTATAAAATGTGATATTATATATGTGAATAGAAATTGATGAAAAGGTTGAGTTGAAAGAGACCAGCCCTACTAGCCCATGTCACAGAGTGTTCATGATAAGTTTGACACACATTCTTTTCTTTTTTTATCGTATTACTTATTTCGTTGATAATAATTTCTTTTCATCACTTATTTCTCACCTCTGCTTAGAAACTTTAAGGCAGGTTGAAAACACGAATAATGACAACCAAGCTGTTCTAGACACGCTAGCAATATTGTCTCCACCAAATACAAAACTATTCACCAAGTTTCAAGAACGAAACGAGAATTATATTCTGAGTTTCAGGCATCAAAAGAAAACTTCATAATACGTTGAATATTTATTGATTCCACTTCTTGTTTGATCCGCTCAGCATCCTCTAGCTCCTTAGTGTCGAGTTCAGCACCCCTTGATATCAAGAACATTTCGAGACATGCAGATAGCTGCACCAACTGGTTATACTTGTCTTCAAGAACATGTTGTGCATCTAGAAACTTCATTTGCACGCGTTCTTCACGCCATAGTTCAGTCATTTGCATCATTTTCCTCTCTTCTTCCACTTCTTCGCAAATTCTCCTGGATTCGCTCAGTATTACCATAAGCTTAGCCTTTTCTTCTCCTATTTGCATGGCTAATTCATCGTACACTTCTCCCATCAGTTCTTTTTCTTTCTTTTCTTTCTCGTAGTTTCTCATATATTGTTGCGCTAATAAGTTTGCTTCAGCAAGTTCATGTACTAATTTGGTATTTAGTAACTCGGTTTTCTCTCTACTTCTTCTTTCCCATTCCAACTTACCCTTTAAGTCATCTAATGTTGCTTTAATCTTGTGACCTTCCCTTGAGGTTTTTTCCTCTTTAAGATTCTGCAAAAACTGTTCAACATTTTTCTTGATGGAATTCATTTCTGCATCGGGTTTATTGATGGAATGAGTGTGAAGGAGTTCTTCTAGCAAAGTGGAGACAACAGAGTTGTGACCACCTGCTAATTTTTTGTGTTCGAGAAGCTTTTTGCTATGAATCACAATAAACTCATTGGATGCTTCATTGAGAGTAGGGTTACATTTTGTCATCGCCATCTCTTTTGAACCTTTGAGTCGTCGCAAATAAGATTCAAGCTGAAAATAAACCCCAAATAAAGAACATAGACTGGAAAGTAGAATCTGAATTAGGAAGAAAACACACACACACACACCGTCTTTCTTTTTATATGTACAATGTTCACATATTATTATTTTCTTATATAAATGTAATGGTAGAACTTTAACCAATCAAAGCTTGATAATTATATATTCAAGCTTTCGGGATTAGATGATGGAGGTGAGCTTCATAGTCCTGGCCTGAATAAAAATGTAATATAAGATAGAGTACTTAGTTTTGTGAGATAGATACTCCAGTGCACTAGTCTAATCACTAGGCGGTGCAAAATGAGTTTATTATTTCACTTGTTTCTCATAAACAATATCTAAAATCTTTTCCAAGATTTTATCTTTTTCGTGTGTGTGAAGATATTATTTTTGGAGCGCTGGTTAAGGTGATTTTAATAAGGTAAGATTCGTGAATATTTTGCGGCCACATTAATGAAATTTATATTATTAGTGAACGTTTCTTTTTAATTAGATTGAAGTATTTGAAATTTTTTATATTCAGTATTTTATATTTATTTTTTAAATTAAAGTTGTAATGAATGAATATTTATATTGGATTGTTACTGTGAATGCAAATTAAGATAAAAAAATTTAATGTTTAATTTTGAAATTAGTTTTTTAAATTTAAAATTCATTTTTGTTTATCACGATGTATTTTAGTTTGTAGGAGTGACTAAAGTACTTTGTTATTAGTATGTTTAAAATTTTAGGGTTTAAATTATAGGCATTTTGAGTTTATATAAATTATAATCTTAAGTTTAGTTTAAACAGATCCAAAGAGTAAAATATATTGTAATATGTTTGGTTGATGTAATTTTTTTTGTTATAATAATTTAATTGATGCTTAGTTTTATTTTAATACATACATTAAAGGAACCTTAATTCTCTTTTGAGATTTAATACAAAGCACTAATTATTTATATTAAATCTTTAAATATTCTACTGGACAGAAATTATTTTTCATAATTTGTTAATTCTTACCTTATGTATAATTGGTGCATATTTGACTGTCGTGTATTTTTTTGTCACTACTTCTATTTTGTACTTCAATGTGAAATGCTACATAAATTTTATCAAATTTAATATAGTAGACTTGATTTCTATGTATTAGCAAGATATGGAAAATGTTTTATACCCCATCTTCAACTACACAAGTGAGAATCACATTACATAGTTGATGATGATGAAATTTGTAACCTAGGTAGTAATGAATAGAAGTTACATGAATACACCCTATATTAGTGAAGAGTATGAAAAAAAAGTTCAAGAGTTTTTGCAATTTACTCATTAAAATAGAACAAATATTAAAGAGATATATTATTGTTGATGAGTTCGTTGTTTGATTAAGATATATAAAAAACTTGAAGATATATGTAATCATTTATTTGTGTATGTTATTGTTAAAAGTTATATAATATGAATATAATACAAAAATATTAGACAGATCGAATTATGTCGACAACAATTTTTAAAAAAAATGAAATGAACAATAATTTAGAAGAGATGATACTTGACGTTGAAGAAGAGAATTTTGGAAGAGAAAAAGTGTATGATTCTTTGAAGTCTGATTTTGAACAACAATTGTACCTATGATACAATAACTTTACAAGATTATCAATAAATTTAAGATTGTTAAATTTAAAAATAAGAAATGGATGGATCGATAAAAGTTTCACAAGATTGTTAGAATTTATTGAAGCATATGCTTTTAGAAGATAACATGTTATCTAATCGTAATTATGAAACAAAGAATACACTTCGTCCAATGGGTTTGCAATATAAGAAGATACATGCATGCCTTAATGATTGCATATTATAAATTAATGATTTTACTACCACTACAAAAAAAAAGCCTATTACCTACGGAATATTACCTACGGATACAAATCCGTAGGTAAATTTTACATTATCTACGGATATTACCCACGGATTAAAATCCGTAGGTAAATTTTACATTACCTACGGATATTACCCACGGATGAAAATACGTAGGTAAATTGTACATTACCTACGGATATTACCTACGGAATTCTATCCGTAGGTAATTATCCATTACCTACGGATATTACCTACGGATATTACCCACGGATGAAAATCCGTAGGTAAATTGTACATTATCTACGGATATTACCTACGGAATTCTATCCGTAGGTAATTATCCATTACCTACGGATATTATCTGTAGGTAATGTAATCCGTGGATAATTCCATAGGTAATTACCTACGTAATTACTATCCGTAGGTAAAGTGTACATTACCTACGGATATTACCTACGAATTCTATCCAGTGAGTAATTATCCATTACCTACGGATATTTTCCATAGGTAATATCATCAGTGGGTAATTCAGTAGGTAATTACCTACGAATTACTATCCATAGATAAATTATATTAAACTAAAAAAATTGTCATTAGCAAGAATCGAACCGAGTACCTTAAAATTGAAAGCTGATACTTCAACCACTAAACTATTAGGATATTCTAATAATAATTTACAACTAAATTATACTTATATTAATTCGTGTAAATATATAAATATATAAATATAAAATATATAAATATATAAATATATAAATATAAAATATATAAATATAAAATATAAAATATATAAATATATAAATATATAAATATAAAATATAAAATATAAAATATATAAATATATAAATATGTAAATATATAAATATGTAAATATATAAATATGTAAATATATAAATATGTAAATATATAAATATGTAAATATATAAATATATAAATATCTAAATATCTAAATATCTAAATATATAAATATCTAATTATATAAATATATAAATATATAAATATATAAATATATAAATATATAAATATATAAATATATAAATATATAAATATATAAATATATAAATATATAAATATATAAATATATAAATATATAAATATATAAATATACAAATATACAAATATACAAATATATAAATATACAAATATACAAATATACAAATATACAAATATATAAATATATAAATATATAAATACATAAATACATAAATACATAAATACATAAATACATAAATACATAAATAAATAAATAAATAAATAAATATTTAAATATTTAAATGTATAAATATATAAATATATAAATACATAAATACATAAATACATAAATACATAAATATATAAATACATAAATATATAAATACATAAATATATAAATACATAAATATATAAATACATAAATATATAAATACATAAATACATAAATACATAAATATATAAATACATAAATATATAAATACATAAATACATAAATATATAAATAGATAAATATATAAATATATAAATATATAAATATATAAATATATAAATATATAAATATATAAATACATAAATATATAAATACATAAATATATAAATATAAATATATAAATATATATATATATATAAATACAAATATATAAATGTATATAATATATATAATATATATACAAAATATAAATATATTTTATATTTATATATATTTTATATTTATATATTTTATATTTATATATTTTATATTTATATATTTTACATTTAGATAAATATAAATATAATTTATTTGTTAATTATTTTCAAAATAACCTAATAGCTTAGTGGTTGGAGTATCGAATCTCCAACTCAGCAGTACTTGGGTTCGAATCCTCACTAATGACAATTCCTTTAATCTAATAATAATTTAAAGTTTCGAAAATATAATATAAAGGGGAGGGGTTGTAATAAATAAAAATATTTTGTTAAGGTAAGTGCATTACCTATGGATTATAATCCGTAGGTAATTCAGATAGTGCATTACCTACGGATTATCTACGGATTATAAATCCGTAGGTAATTACCTACGACCAAATTACCTACGGATTTTCTACGGAAAGAAATCCGTAAGTAAAGTGACATTACATACGGATTTTTGTCATTACCTACGGATTTTACCCGTAGATAAGAAACGTTTTTTTTGTAGTGTACATCGCAGGTGCATCTGACACATGGGTTGTCACGGTTAAAAGAGAAACTTGATGGAAGTAATAATATTGAGGAAGAAATAAATGACATCTACTAAGGTGTTATGATAATGTGACAATTTAATATCTAATTGATTTTCTATAATCGGAGAAGATTGATTTTCATAACTTGATGCAGAGCCAAGAAATTTGAGAATTAGATTAATTATAAATAACATGAATCATTATGAAAATTTTAGTAATAAACATAGTTATGATTAGTTTTGTTCGTCATTTATAATCTATTTCTTTAGCTATGCATGAAAAGAAAATATATTATGTCATCTATGATGATTTTGGGACCTTGACAAACAAGAAATAACATAGATATGTATCTTAATCTTTTGATTAGCGACTTCAAGATGTTGTCAAAAACAAGAATGAAGATCTTTGATGTTTTTCATGAATTTTTTTTTATGTTAGGTGACAATGTTATTTTGTATAATAAATTATTTTTTAGTATATGATAACTTGAATGATTATAGTATGAATATGCATGTCTTATATGTGAAGAAAATATAAGTTATACCTAATTGAAATATGGACAGAAGACTTCATACTAGATATTGAAAATTCTTAATTCAAAAGTAGTCATCCATTAAAATAAATTGAAGAAAATATTTAATAGATGTTAAGAGGATGAAATTTCATTAAAATGGTGAATAAGTGTGCGAGCAGATGAATAATATTATGGAAAGACACACAAAAATCCATTAAAAAGAATATCTAGAAGAAATGATCAATATTTTTTAATCTTCCCTAACGGTCCAATATAAATTTTAAATATTGTATAAATGTTATGGATGTGAAGAAAACAAACGTTTTTATAATATAATTGAGAGGTTGATCAATATAAAATACAAGATTAAAGAATATAAGATAAAATATGAAATAAAAGTATAAGAAAATATTGGATAAATAGATATATATTTTAAGTTACATTAATATTGGAAAACACGTTTATTTACCTTCAACTTATAAAGAAAAGAAAACAAATGTTTTTATGAGTATTAAAAATATCTATTAAATATTAAAAATACAGTGTCTTTATTCTATTAAAAGAAGAAGAAAAAAAAACATTGATTCTATCATGTGTCTTTAGTGAAGAACACCTAAGTTTTTGTTTTTATTCACCTGATTCAAAATATGTTTTATATCAGAAGATGTAGTATTTGGATCTAATAAATCATATTTTCAAGAGATTATATATATATATATATATATATATATATATATATATATATATATATATATATATATATATATGAAATACATTTTATAATTATAAATTTTTTTAGTGCAAACAAAAATCATATTTATATGACTTTAAAAATATGAGAATAATTTTAATTATTAAAGAATAACTACTCCTTAGAAAGAGTATTCTATCATTTAACTAAAGAGTATAGAAAAGTTTACCATTTATGGAATAATGGTTAATTGATCATCCTTAAAAGAAACATTTAACAATTATCTTATATTAATAAAATAATGATAATAATATATAATAAATAAAATAATAATTAATAAAAGTAAAAGATTATGCTTTGATTGAATGTTTGAAGTAGGTTTTGAGTCTATCTTTATTCTATGTATATTTTCTTACAAAGTAAAAAACACAACCTTTCTATATCATTTCACCTTGATAATGCAATTGATGAGTTTCATATATTTTATTTATCTTTTTGACTTCAATGTGGTGCCATCTCACAACTTTTGAGAAAGAGATCAGTATTCCTAATATGTTCTTGTCTAAGTACAATTTTTTCAGTCATGAATTTATTTTATAAGTAATTGGATAATATATTCAGTATGTTAATTTGTTTTTTAGTAGAAAATGACAATGAGGTAGAGTATTTTTATGAGATAGATAGAAACTAGTTGAGTTCTATAACTTTTATCCTAATAGCTTATTTTGTATTGTTTTGACACTACAACTAATAAGGGTAGACCTCTTGGCTACACTTAGCCTACATAGGCGTCTAAGAGTTAAAAGAATAGTTTATACCATTATAATACAAGAGTATTATATATCAATTAAACTAAAAGTAAGTGTTCAGAAAAGTGCACATATGTCAGATAATAACATTTTCAGAATATTTTTTAGTCATCTCTAGAAATTTGTAGTACCTCACGTCGAAGTCCATTTCTTGAACGCAAAATAGTTATTGGCCTCCTCTGCTGATCATGAGTCTCTTTGAAATTTTCTCCAGACTTGTCATAATCTGAAAACCTGACCTTTACATTCCCATCAGCAGGCTGAATATAAACAAAACACTTAGATAGTAAATGATAGACAATGAAGAGTGAGAAAGGAGTGCAAATAATTAAAAACTGGTTATCATTTTTGTATTTTACAAGAGAAGAATAAAAAGTGTAGGTGTGAGTTTCAGATCTGGGATTCTACAGGTGCATGCATACACTGTGAAACCAGTATATATATATAAAATGTTTTAAAAAAATTGGAGCAATATTATTGCAGTCCTTTATTCAGTAGATTCTAGACGAAATTTGTCCCACCAAAGAATGAGTTTGCCGCGAGGAGGATTCTATACGAGGGTCCAAAAATCAAATATAATCCTAGCAGAAGAGTCATTTTTTCACAGAAGTTGAAAAACAGCTATATTTTGTAGTTGTAGTTAAAGAAACAACTATAGCTTCCGATGACTTTTTCTTTATTTCTTATTTCATTTAGTGTAGTTAATTGGTATCATGTAGCAACGGTTGGATTGCATATTGTTCTTCCCAAGGATTGTAAAGGTCATTATCTACAGATAGGATATTATGGCTTGACACAGAATTTGGTTTGCAGTTGCAGTGGTCCTTCTGTTAATATACAAATGATTTTGTCTTTAGAAATGAGATTTTGGATAGAGTGAAGTTGTTTGATTTCAAATTTAGATCACGAGTTGCATCACATCGATGCTTTTGTATTTTCTTTTAACATAACAAAGAAACAAGAGATAAAAACATTTAGGTTACAAGTGTCTTTTGTTGTATAAATTGAGGCAGCTGCATGATCCCTTGGGAGTTGCATAAATTGCATCTTCCACAACCCAGCAGCCAGCTTCCTGGCCGAATCTTCACTTTTCCTGAATCCTTCCCAAGAATTCACTGGAGAACTGCAATTGCCATCATCACCATCACCATAACGGGAGTGTTTCCTGTGCGTCCACCTGCGACCGAGGGCGATTGTCACGGCTGAATTTCGATGTTTTTGGCGGCGAGGAAAGGCCTGGATAAGGTTGGTGCTTGACGCCATGAAGAGAAATAAAAAGAATAGAAAGGACGTTTCATGGAAGTGTAGGTTTAAAGAGGGAGAGGAAGAAGAAAGAGAAAGGTGAAAACATGGGAGGAAACAAACAAGAGTAGATCTGCATTTAGGATGTTTTGGGTTTGGTGAATGGGTGAGTGATCACTAAATAATCCACTATTTATCCTATTTGCATTTCAGTATTATCTGCTCTACTACAATATCTCATGTCTCATAATTTACTATTACTTCATGGTAAAATAATTTATATGAACACGTATATCTATTAAATTTAATATCCAAACTAACCCTCAAGTCCTCTTCTTACTCTGACTATAAATAATAGTCATTTAATAGTTTTGTTATACTGAGGTTATCACAAGATAGCATATTATAGATTTCATTAAATGAGAGTTTCAAGATATATTAATTTAATTTCTTTATAATATTATTCTCACAATCTCTTTCAACTAGAATGCCTAAAATTATTTTAATTATTATTAATTTTTACATATTTAATTTCACGATGTCATATCAATATTTACTTTATATATTTTATTCCTCTGTCAAAATCCAACATTGCTATTCACTACAGAAATAAGACAAGCTATATTCTACTGTAATAAATTACACCCATTGTATATAATTTTTATGTTAGTCAAAATATTTTTTTATATATATATTTAATTACATGGCTCAATGAAATGATGCAAATTCAGGTGATGTAATTTAATTTTTCATCAATTAATAGAACTGATGTAACGAGGAAGACTCTATTTCAGTACATACATTATGATGTAAATTTTTTTTTTATTGGATAGTCATTGAAAACCCACAGCTGGGTCGGGCACACAAAGTAATATCATCCTTCATCGTTCATTTCGAACTTGTTCACCAAAAGGAACCTAATGAACTAGCTAGGTGGAAACAAATATTGAGAGAGGGTTAAGAGATCTATACACAAGATGTTTATGAACTATGGTTGTCACGCGACAATAACTGGAATAAAAAGAAAAAGTATAATAAAATTTTCTGTTAAGATGAACTAAATGTTACATACCACAGTTGCTTTAAAATTGATGTAATATAAGTTTCTATTGCTATTTTATCAACTTACATATGTATATAATTTTGTAGTTTTGTCATTACATGATACTACAATCTTTTCATCGATGAAAAAGCTTTGATAATGTATGTAGGATAGTGTAATCCAAATCGGATTCTGGTGCCTACCAGTGTGGATATGTGACAAAGTTTCTGGATTTTGTTTAAGGCTGAACATAGAATCTTAGTCCGAGTTGGGGCAATCTATGATATTCAGTTGTCTTGTGCTTAGCAATTCTGAACCTGTTGTTCTGGTTCTGGTACTGATATGCAGGAAATCCATGCTAAACAAGTGATTTGAATGCCTGGTGGTCTTGAAAGTCACTGTAGGGTGGTGGTGCAGTCAGCAATTACTGAACAAACTGGTATAGTATTATTGATGCAACCTTGTTTGTAGATTGTGCTTATATAGATAATTAAATTGATGAAAAAGGAAGATGCGAGATGGCAGAACTTGAAGGAGATAGATGGGATTCTGAATGATAACTTTGTTGTATTAACACAATTTAAGGTGACCAGAATTGCTCTATCAATTGTCACATATGACTTGAATCTGTTTTACAATGATATCTATCATCTGCCAGGTATGTTGCAAACAACAGCTACTTGTATCTTGAATATTTCGTTTCAATACTTTTTCCATCGTTTTATAATGTTGATGTTTAACTAAAAATTCTACAATATAATTACTTGTGTGTCGATCAATTTACACCAAAATCATTTCAATTTAATAAATTACATTGACTTTATATCATTTAGCTATAACTTATACGTATCTAAAACAGAGACAAGAATACATTATATAAAAAATAGTATTCAACCTTAAAATATTTGAATTTGACGAAGACTAAACTCAAAAGTCTATAGTTTATAGTTAGGACTTCAATTTTAGGTAGATATTTATTTTTTTCCCCACCAAAATCAATTAAGAGGAACGGGAAATCAGGATCTTATCCCTAAAATCGTATAATAATAATATATATATATATAAAAAAAAAACTTATTTAATCCTTAGATGTACAACTGTCTCCCTAATCAATGTCATGAAAGACTTCATTTCCTTATTTTGTTTTCGAATGTGCAATAAACCAACAAACATTTGAGCAGTACTTAAATTGGAGATGTTTATATATACGTTAATCTACTATTTAGTACTTTGTCAGTATGTTGGTTGAATATCCTAGGTTGCGTGTGTGGTTCATGGTCACGGGTTTCTGCAAAATTTACGTTAAATTTCTTAAGTTAACTTTCGTAATCAGATACAATGTTGTCTATTATCCCTTTGGTTTTTTTATCACATGGATAGCAAAAAACACGTCTCTTTTCTCTCCAGCACTGTCTTGTTATATATCTGTTAGTATCAGAGTACCAGCACAAATACACACAACTAAAATAGAGACTAGAAAAATAACACTGACAATAGGCAAAAATGGAAATTTTATAATGACTACCCTTTCCTTTACAATTGGAAATTACCAATACTCGGAAAGTAAAAGAGAAAGAAGGAGAAATTTTTTTTAGGATGTTGAAATAAGGAGGGAGGGGCTCCTTTTATAAGAAGGAGGAGAGCCCCCAATTGAAGTTCCCACCGATGTGGGACTTCTTTCTTCACAATCTCCCACTTGAAGATTTTGATGAAATTAATCAAATCTTCACACTATGTCTTCTTCTCTCACATCCATGTTGCTTATGCTTTCGATAGGCCATAGAGGGATCGACTCCGTATAAACTTGTCAGCATTAACCGGCTTTGTCATTACATCTGCTAGGTTCTTCTCGGTGTGGATCTTCCGTAAATCTACACTTCCTTCTTCTACTACTTCTCGAACAAAATGATATCTTATTCCTATGTGTTTTGTCCTCGAATGAAAGGTCGGATTCCTTGCAATGTGTAAGGCACTTTGACTATCACGAGTACACAACAATTTGTTGTTGCTTGTGACCAAGTTCCCCCATTATTCTTTTAATCCGAGATAGCTTCTTTACATGCTTGGGTGACGACCATGTATTCAGACTTCAGTAGTAGACAGAGCTACCACATCTTGTAACTTGGATAACCAACTTACTTGCCCCTCCATTGATGGTAAACACATAACCAGGTAGTAGACTTCCTTTTATCCAGATCACTCGCAAAATCCGAATCAGCATAGCCTCTAACAACTGCTTCGATCCTCCATAACATAATGCAACATTTGAGGTTCCTTTTATATACCTAAGGATCCTCTTCACATTTTGCCAATGCTCTCCACCAGGATTCCCCATGAATCTACTAACCACTCCCACTTGCTTGTGCAATGTCCGGTCTTGTACAAATCATGGCATACATAAGACTTCCCACTGCTGATGCATACGGTACTCGAGACATTTCAATCCTCTCCGCTTCACTCGCTAGGACTCATACTTGAGGATAACTTACGGTTGACGGGAAGTGGGGTAGAAATTGGCTTGCAATCTTGCATGTTGAAGCGCCGCAAGATCTTAAGTAAATAATTCTTTTGAGAAAGCCAAATCTTCCTATCTTTTACGTCTCGGTGAATTTGCATCCCTAAAATCTTGTTTGCTGGTCCCAAGTCCTTCATATCAAACTCCCTAGCCAATTGTGCCTTCAATTCTTGGATTCGAGCTTTGTTAGGGCCTACCACCAACATGTCATCCACATACAACAACAATATGATGAAATCATTTTCTTCAAACCTATTGTGGTAAGTACAATCACTACTAGAAAAATGTCAAATAGTAACCGAAATCAGTGACCGAAAAATTTAGTTACTATCAGTGACCGAATCAGTAACCAAATTATTATTTTTTAGTCTAGTAACCGAAATAGTAACCGAATTTTCGGTCACAAAAAATCGGTTACTATTTCGATCACTTTATTATTTAGTAATCGATTTAGTGACTAAAATTTCGATCACTAAAAAAATAATTTTTAAACTGATAACTATTTTTCATTTATATAAATATTTTATTTAAAATATTTTAAATATAAATTTACTTAATGATTTAAAATAATTGATAACATTTTTAATAAAATTATAAATATTTTAAAAAAATTGTTTACTAACTTATTAAATAATTTAGTAATATAATTATTTGATTTTATTTTTTAATTTAGCATGTGAATAAAAAAATTAAAATTGATTATTAAATTAGTCACTAGAATCGGTCACTTGATTCGGTCATCGAATCGGTCACTTAATTCGGTCATCGATTCGGTCATTAGGTTCGGTCACTTGATTCGGTCATCGAATCGGTCACTAAATCAATAATTAAATTAATTATTAATTTAGTCTCTTTATATATATATATATATATATATATATATATATATATTACTTGTATGTTAATAAAAATGTATTTCAATGTATTTATAAAAAATTAAAATTATTTTAATTATTGAATTGATATTTTAAATTTATATTAATATCTTGAATAATTTAATAGTTGGATATATATATATATATATATATATATATATCACTTTAATTTTTTTAATTAAAATTAATTTCATAAAAAAATTAATATTTGAAAATTAAAATGAAAAAAAAAAATATATATATATATATATTTATTTATTTTTTAAAGATGATATATTCAATGTATGTTAAAAAAGTTCAAGCCAAATTGTTTTTATAGAAGATTTTCAAAGCTGCTTGGTTTAATTAATCTGTTAAAAGATTCTTTTAATATGTTAAAAGTGCAGTTTTAATCTGTTAAAACTTCTTTTAATCCATTAATACGTTCTTGATTCTTTAACAGATTTGTTTTAACTAATACGACAACGTTTATATCAATTAAAACACTTTACAAAAAATCTTCTAAGTTGATTTAATCGATTGTTCGCGATTCAATCGATTGAAATACTTGCAAAACTTTCTCCTAAAACTTTTCAAGTTATTTTAAGCT